GGGATAAAGCGATCATCCCAGAGAATTGGATGGGGGGGGGGTTAGTTTGTTTTCTGCTGCTGAAGGTTAACAGGAAAACCGCAGCAGTCAAAGGGCTTTGCTTGGTATGTGGGAAAGGAGGGCGCAGAAGCCGAAAGACAATGGCTTACCATGGCCGCCTGCAAGCCGAATTCTGTTGCCCAGACCTGCGTCTGTGATCTCTAACACCAAAGCCACAGGCACTCAATATTAAGATGGAAAATGTGACCTTGTACTAAAATCACATGTGCTATGTAGTGTGAATAGTGTTGTTCACCGTGAAAGAGTATAAGCATTGTTCTGTAAAATGTATCTTTTTAAAAACTTCTCTCCTTTTTTCCATCCCTCCAGCAGCTGCAAGTTTTTCAAGCCTCCCTCCTCCATCCCAAAGGCTATCTCAGATAAGGCGGAGGAGAAAGAGAACACGAGACGAGATGTTCTCGGAAATAATGGAATGCACCCACAATGAAAGAGCTCATTTGAATGAGGGGAAGGACACGGTATCTAAGTACAGGAAAGATGCCAGTGAACGGGAGGTCATCAGGGACGCTCAAGATGAGAGGTGGCAGGCTGGGGCTGCTGCGTGATCAAACGGACATGCTCCGGCGTCTGGTGGAGCTTCAGGAACGGCAGCAGGATAACAGAGTGCCGCTGCAGCTGCTGTCTAACCTCCCTCCCCCCTCACCGTGTTCCATAGCCTCCTCACCCAGATGTGTAAGAACGCGGGGGGGGGGGGGGAGGGAGAGGCTCCGTGCACCCTCCCACTCCACCCTCGTGGACAGCCCAACCAAAAGGCTGTCATTATATTGAATTTTTTCAGTGGCCTTTTACTTCCCTCCTGTCCTCCTCCGGGTTACTTGTCGGTTCTCTCCCTACGTTTATAATCAATTAATAAAGAATACATGATTTTTAAACAATAGTGACTTTTTCCTTTAAAAGCAAGCTGTGATTTAAGGGGGGAGGGTGGTTTGCTTACAGGGAATGAGTCAATCAAGGGGGTGGGTTTTCAACAAACAGAACTTTCACACCGTAGCCTGGCCAGTCATGAAACTGGTTTTCAAAGCTTCTCTGATGGGCAGCGCTTCCTGGTGTGATCTTCTAATTGCCCTGGTGTCTGGCTGTGCATAATCAGCTGCCCGGCGATTTGCCTCAGCCTCCTACCCCGCCATAAAGGTCTCCCCCTTACTCTCACAGAGATTGTGGAGCGCACAGCAAGCAGCAATAACAATGGGAATATTGGTTTGGCGGAGGTCTGACCGAGTCAGTAACGAGCGCCAGCGACCTTTTAAACGGCCAAATGCACATTCTACCACCATTCTGCACTTGCTCAGCCTGTAGTTGAACAGCTCCTGACTCCTGTCCAGGCTGCCTGTGTATGGCTTCATGAGCCATGGCATTAAGGGGTAGGCTGGGTCCCCAAGGATAACTATTGGCATTTCAACATCCCCAACGGTTATTTTCTGGTCCGGGAAGTAAGTCCCTTGCTGCAGCTGTTTAAATAGAGTAGTGTTCCTGAAAACGCGAGCATCATGAACTCTTCCCAGCCAGCCCACGTTGATGTTGGTGAAACGTCCCTTGTGATCCACAAGTGCTTGCAGCACCATTGAAAAGTACCCCTTGTGGTTTATGTACTGGGTACCCTGGTGCCAAGATAGAGATGGGTTCCATCTATCGCCCCACCACAGTTAGGGAATCCCATTGCAGCAAAGCCATCCACTATGCCCTGCACATCTCCCAGAGTCACTAGCTTTCGTAACAGCAGCTCACTGATTGCTTTGGCTACTTGCATCACAGCAGCCCCCATAGTAGATTTGCCCACTCCAAATTGATTCCCGACTGACCGGTAGCTGTCTGGCGTTGCAAGCTTCCACAGGGCTATCGCCACTCGTTTCTCAACTGTGAGGGCTGCTCTCATCTTGGTATTCTGGCGCTTCAGGGCAGGGGAAAGCAAGTCAAAGTTCCATGAAAGTGCCCTTACGCATGCGAAAGTTTCGTCCCACACCTGCAACACTATGCGGTCCCACCAGTCTGTGCTTGTTTCCCGGGCCCAGAATCGGCGTTCCACGGCTATAACCTGCCCCTTTAACAGCATGATCTCCAAAGCACCGGGGCCCGTGGTTTGATAGAATTCCATGTCCATGTCCTCATCACTCTCGCCGCTGCGCTGCTGTAGCCTACTCCTCGCCGCCTGGTTTAGCAGGTTCTGGTTCAGCATAAACTGCACGATAACGCGCAAGGTGTTTACAATGTTCATGACTGCTGTCTTGAGCTGAGCGGGCTCCATGTTTGCCGTGGTATGGCGTCTGCACTGTTCACCCAGGAAAAAGGCACGAAACGGTTGTCTGCCGTTGCTTCCCTGGAGAGGGGGGGGGAGGATGTACCCAGAACCACCCACGACAATGTTTTTGGCCCCATCAGGCATTGGGATCTCAACCCAGAATTCCAATGGGCAGAGGAGACTGCGGGGGCTATGGGATAGCTACCCACAGTGCAACGCTCCGGAAATCGATGCTAGCCCCGGTACATGGATGCACACCGCCGAATTAATGTGCTTAGTGTGGCCGCATACATTCGACTTTATACAATCTGTTTCCAAAATTCAAATTATATAAATTCAGATTAATCCTGTAGTGTAGACATACCCTGCGTCTCAGTTTACACTGAAGGACCTCTGTTAAAGGTGTTACAATTTATAGTGTAGAGTGGACCAAGGGTTTTTTTGGGTTATGTAACTTATGGCTTTATGCCATTTAAGCCTGTCTATATATGGAGTTTTTCAGAAAGAGCTTTTTTAATCAGGCTGTTCCTGTAGACACATTTTTATTCCAGAGTAAGTGTCCACAAGTGGAGTTATTCAGGAACAACTAGATAGAAAGAGCTCTTTCTGAAGAACTATGTTTAGATAAGCCTTTATTGCAGCCAGCTCTCATGACTTGTGTGTAAAGAGGACCTTAGACTGTTTAGGACATTCCAGCTTCACTTTTTGTTCCTTTCACCATGCACTGAATCAGGACTCAATCTCATTGTGATTTCCAATCACCAGAGGAACTTGGAACACTTAGTATCTAGATAAAAGTTACTCAGTGTGCCTTGGTGTGTTGCTTCAGATGCAAGATTGGTATCCACAGCTCCTAACTGGAACAAGGCTATACATTAAAATTGGTGGTGGACAAATACTGCAAGTTCAGAAGAGCATGTATCTGGGCACCAATATACAACAGAAGGGCAATTTACAAGAGCATATTAATATAGATCAAAATGATTTCGGAGACCTGTTTTTAGAAGGGCTTTGTAAAAAGCTTCAAATTGCCCCATCATTACTCCACTTTGAAGACTGACCGCTTTTGACTCGTTTGAAAAGCTAGTCTTTTCTTAAATGCCAAATTAGGCATGTATTTGATCTCTTTATACCATCTGTTTATAAACTAAAGCTAATAAAACTTCTAGTAACTATAAATCCAATGAAAAGCTGACCATTTGACTTCTCTGGTACTTAGATTGCACCTCTAATAAGTACAAGGCTAAATTCTGTAGTGAGGCAAGCTTGTATTGACTTCACTGAAAGTTGAGCCGGATACTGTACTACAGGATTTGGCCCAATATCTGCTATTTTACAAACATACCATGACAAGTTTTGGATGAATACCAGGTGCTTTAGGTGATGCACTGTACCTGAACTTCATAGCTTGTTCCTAGTCAGAGTACAGTTAAGAGAGACGCTGCCTTTCTTTCAAATACGCCCTTAGGGTATGTCTACACTACGGGATTAATCCGAATTTAGATAATTCGAATTTGGGAAACAGGTTGTATAAATTCGATTGTGCGCGGCCACACTAAGCACATTAATTCGGTTTTTAACCACATTAATTCGGTGATGTGCGGCCACACTACCCAATTAATTTAAACACAGTAATTCGGTGGTGTGCGGCCACACTAACCCTAATTCGAATTAACAAAATCGATTTAGGCGCCACTCCGCTCGTCAAGGTGGAGTACAGAAATCGATTTTAAGTGCCCTTTAATTCGAATTAACTGGCTCTGTAGTGTGGACGGGTGAAGGGTTAATTCGGATTAACGCAGCTAAATCCGAATTAAAGTCGTAGTGTAGACCAGGCCTTAGACTCAAAATTTCTCTGTCTTCTAGAAAAAGCAGAAAGCTAACTTGTCGGTTTCTTAAATATCGTCTTTCCATCTTTTGCATTATGGTCACAGTGTGGTCCTAATTTTCAGCAATATTAAAACTAATGTGTGTGCTTATCTTACCAGGTTTTGGCTTGCCTGGGGAATTCATATAGCTGAAGCATTGTACAGTATCAAGTTATGCAAGTAAGTTGTGTGGGGTTGTTTTTTTTTAAATTCTCCTCTCTCTTAGATTTTATGGACAAGATTTAAAAAAAAAAAAAAAAAGAAAAGCCTAAAAAGGTAAATATGGGTTTAGGAACCTAACTTCAGGCACTGTTACTGAGGGAATTTGGGAGGAAGAGTTCATCCTCCCATGTGGTGCTCTGATATTTCAATTAGCCATTTAAAAAAAAAATTTGAATTCTGCCGAGTCTATCAGTTTAAACATTTTTTCTATTAGATTTAAACTTTTACAACTGAGTAAATCTGTGGGTTTTAAACATTATTATTATTTTTATCAAATTAAGTTTTCAGTTGTGGGAAATTGAAAAGTATCAATTTTTTAATGAGAGGCATTGAGATTCAAAAAAAGTTAAAGCCTTAACCCTTAACACTAGTTGTCAAAATATACAAAGTAAATAAATATCCTTAAACTGAGTTCTCAAGCAGCATTTTTCTTATCTGCAAATTTCAGTTATTAATTAAAAGTATTTTTATTGGTCTGTGTGTTTGAAATTGATGTTTACTGACATTTACCGATTAATCTTTCCAAATCTAACTATAGTGCAGAGTGCCATAGAAGAGAGTCATATCAGTAGGTGGAATAAAAACAATTATGGTACTTTTGGGGGGGGGGGGGGAGGAGGTGAGAGGAGTGGGGAAGAGGGTGGTCAAGGGAGCCCTTGACACCTGTCCCTGCCTCTCCCCCCCCTTTCCATCATTTATACGCTTTCCCTTATGAGAGAGGAGAATCTGGATGAAAACAGAGTCAAAGATGGCCTGTCTCTCAGGCAGTCTGTCTTTCTGGATTCAGCTCTATGAGCTTGGTCTATCAGAGTCTATTACCGCCTTAGTGGGGCCTACCTTCTGCCCTTCTAGGGATTTACTGCTTTGCTGCCAGTCAGGTCAGTTGAAAAGGCAATGGTCACAAGCTGCAGTATCTGTTGGCAGTAGTCTCTGAAGTGGAATAGCCTTCTTCCTGTTCACTGTCCCTTCCCTTTTTAAGCTTCTTCCATTCCAGGAAGAACAAGCCTTGCAGGTTTGCTTCATTAGTGCTAAACAGGCCCAGAAGAGCTGGTTGATCTCCCCTACACCAGAGTGAGGGCACGTCCCTTCACATACCTTCAAATATTAAGACCAAATGAGGGGCTTTTCTTGAAGCAGATCTCAAAGATAAACAGGATTACTGGCCTAGTGTATGGGAGAGAAGCTGTAGATTTCAAATCTTGATTTTAGTAAGGCTTCTTGATACAGTCTCACACACCAGCATCATAAGCACATAGGGAAATGTGGTCAGGATGAAATTACTTTAAGATGGGTGCGCAGCTGTCAAAAATACCATGCTTAAAAACTAATCAATGGTTTGCTGTCAGACTGGGAGGGTGTATCTAGTGGTATTCTGCAGGGATCTGTCCTGGGTTAAATACTATTCAGTAATGACTTGGACAATGGAGTGAAGAGTATGCTTATAAAATTTGCAGATAACACCTGGATTCAGAGGACCTTGACAAATTGGACAATTGGTCTGAATTCAACAAGATAAAATTAAAAAAAGACAACCACACTTAGGACGGAGTTTGGGGACAGGGGAAAAAACAAAAACAAAAACCCCAACCTCAAATGTACAGCTACAAAATGGGGAATAACTTGCTGGCTGGCAGTACTGCTGAAAAAGGACCTGGGGCTTACAGGGTATCACAAACTGAACAAGTCAACAATGTAATGCAGTTGCAAAAAAAGTTAGTACTCTGGGATGTTTTAACAGAACTGTTGTATGCAAGACAAGGTTAGTAATTGTTCCACTCTCCTCAGCACTGGTGAAGCCTCAGCTGGACTACTGTGTCCAATTCTGAGTGCCACACTTTAGGAAAGATGTGGACAAATTGGAGAGAATCCATAGGAGAGCAACAAAGATAAGAGATTTAGAGACTCTGACCTATGAGGAAAGGTTAAAAAAAAACTGTCCATGTTTAATCTAGAGCAGTGGTTCTCAAACTTGTTCCGCCGCTTGTGCAGGGAAAGCCCCTGGCAGTCCGGGCCGGTTTGTTTACCGATCGCGGCTCCCAGACTGCCAAGCGGTGGAACAAGTTTGGGAACCACTGCTCTAGAGGAAAGAAGACTGAGGAGAGAGACCTGATAGTCAAATCTTATAAAAAGACTGTAATCAATTATTCTTCTTGTCAACTGAATGTAGAACAAGCAGTAATGGGCTTAATCTGCAACAAGGGAGACTTGGGTTAGATATTAGGAAATACTTTCTAACCATAAGAATAGTTAAGATCCGGAATAGGCTTTCAAGGCAGGTTGTGGAATCCCCATCATAGAAGATTTTTAAAAACAGGTTGACCAGACACCTGTCAGGGATGGTCTAGGTTTACTTGGTCCTGCCTCAGCACAGGGGGCAGGACTTGAGGACCTTCCAGCCCTACATTTCTGTGATTCTATAAAATAACTTCTCAGCATCTTTGTAATCAATAGAGCGGATACATCTTGTGAAAAATGTGAGTGTGGGGCTAGGCAGGACTGGCCACCTAGTGGGTTTTTGTGAAATAGAAAGTGTGTATAAAGGAATTCTGGAATATAAGGATTCTGTTTGCATCAGTCAGTGTCCAGAAGTTGAGCCCTACTCAAACAAAGATGTATATGGCTCAGGAGTAAAAGATTGTGAAGGCTCTACAGTCAGAGTAATTGTTCTTATGTTTACTCTAAACCCCATGTTGATCAGCAATTCTTTTGAAACTTAATACTTTCAACTGATTTAAAAAAAAAAGAAAAAGAAATTATGTAGCTCTTCTGCCAACTCAAAGTTGCAGCCTTGCTTACATCTTGGTTCATGCGTACTGGGAAAGGGAAGACAGTCTCATGCAGTGTTCTGGAAACCTACACATGCTCTTCTTCCACTTGTCACAGGCTGTCTGGCACTCCTTATTCAGACAAACAAAACTTCAAAGTAAATAGTGCTTTTGTTTTATCCATGTAACGATTGCTTAATATGGCCCTCAGATTATTTGTATTTGGAAAAAAAACGTTGGCCTCAGTTGATTTAATTAAAAGGGAGTATGAAGTGATGCCTATTTGTAGTTATATAACTTCCCAGTTTTAAAAGGAGAAAGGGCAGACTTCTCTCAGTTAAAAATACCTAAGATTGTGCACAAATTTACAAGAGCATATGCCTGATGTCAGACATAGTAGGTGTGACAACCCCTTTCTAGGTTTTGCACCCTACAGAAAGCACTTAAGTTTATACAGCATTATTAAAATGTGAAGTACTATGAGGAGGCAGAAATAAAGACTGCTTACTTAACACCTTGTTTCTGATAATCCTCTGTCCAGGCAGCTGCTGTTAATATAATTCCAATGATACTAACATCCACTTTCCAGTAGTACTTGTAGACATTACTAAGGAGACAGGAAATGAAATCGAACAGTTAAATCTCATTGAGGGTAGAAAGTATTTGTTTGCCTAGATTATATATACACACACTTTTTGCAAGAGTGTAATCTTGCATAAGCAAGTTGCAGTATTTGAAAAACTGTCAATGAATGCAGAAAAAAACCCTCAGGAACACTAAAACCCTGTTTGGACTACAAGAGTATAGAGCTAGTGTGTTTTAAACACTGCCTTTCTTTACAGTAGGTACTAAAAACATGTTCACATGTATTAGCGAATACATTTGCTATCTACTCATCTTCCTCATGTAGACAGGGCCCAACAGTATAAACAGGGTTAGGATATTTTAGTTGAAATTGGTAGAGGGAGCACCAAGTAAGTTGAGACAGTGTGTATAGTTAAAGCTTCCTGTATTACACATGTTCAATCAGACCTGGAGTCTAGCCCATCAGCTATTTTTAATACCGCCAATAATGAGCTTTTCACTTAGTTCCTGACCAGTTTGTCAGGAGCTTTTGTGGCATTATCTGTTTACTTTTCCCCAATATAAAGGAAGGGCAGGAAAAAGTTAGAGCTTTACATTTTTGGGGATTGTTTTTTAATGAATCTAAATGCACTCCCAGTCTTAGTCTACAGTGATTTAAAGCATATGCTAGATCTCTTGATACTATTAGCCATATGCTCTTGGAAATGTCTGCAGCATGGGAAGAAGCCATTATTCTGATGGTTTCCAAAGCAATAGCCCCTGACGAGGGAAGGAGAGGGTTGGAGGCTTGTCTCTAACTAGCAGGTGTGCTGCCATCAGTAGCATCTTTTTTCCTCCTTTCTGCACTATGGAGAAATGCCAAAATAGTTAGCCAACCCTGCACCTGTTGAGGTCACAGATCTTTTAATGAACATTCAAGAGGTTAAGTTAAATTAGTGTTAAATGTGCCTCATATGTTCATTTTGTTTGAATTTACCTTGGAAATGTATAGTCGGTACAAAAGTTGCAAACTATTAATTCAAAGACAGTTGAGAAAACTAATCAAATGTAATCTCAATGGATCTGGGTTAGTATTGCTCCCACCACACTGTGATGTACTGTTCTTGGGACTGCTAACCATCACTGTGCAGCCCATTTCTGGGCTGACAAAGTAGTCTGAAATCATTACATAAAGCACTGAAGGCCATTAGTCTGTTTAGTGAATAGTGTTTCCACAGAATCAACTTTCCACATGCAAATCAGCTGTTCCATATGAAAAAAGTTTCACTGTTTAAGAAACATGATCCCTGTTATTGCTGCTAAGTCTCATCTGTTCACATTTTTAACTTATCACTGCCCCTGAAATTCCTGCTTCATAAGATAGCAAAAAAGGAAGTCTGTGTATAACTAACTTGCTGTCTATTCGCCAGGCTGCCACTGTAACTGAAAAGCTCTTACCATAATGAAAATACATTAATAAACTCTGTATCATGTAGGGATTTGCTTAGCATACTGTACTTGACTTCATGATTACTTTATACTAGTAATGCCAAATGTCATCCCCATGCTTATTTTGCACTTCAGTATGTATAGACTGTACATAATGTTAACATTGACAGCATCAATAACTTGAGTTAATATGTCAAAAACATGTCTAGTGATCGTGGTTAATAAGTCTTCATTAGTGGTACAGACTGCGTTAAATGGAGTGTAAAAGTTGAGCCTCATTACTAAACATTCCTCACATCAAGGTGCTTTGAGCTGTAAACATCAATCACTATGATCAGTGGTGTGTTAGATCCATTTCACAGTTCACTTTTATGGAGAGTGTATAGTATGTTAAATAAAAACTAACTTTGTTTTACTGCAGGACCAAAGGCATCACTGACAGCTCTGTTCAACGTCGATGGTTCATCCAAACCTTCCTCTTTGGTATAGCTTCTCTCTCCCACCTGCTAGCCTACAAGCCTCCGCCTAAGAAGCAGAGATAAAGGATTGGGAAAGAGGCAAATAAGGCTAATATATTTCAATCTTGTTCTCACAAAGTGGATCCACCCTATGTGTTTCTGTTGCTCTGAATGATCTAAAAGGCATTTCCTGTTATGTGAGCCAGTGCACTCGTGCCAAGGCAATCTTGTGGTATCATTGTTATTATTAAATGCCTGGTTTGAGATATGGGCTCACTTAATAGCTCAAGAAATTAGTATGGGAACATGGAGCATCTCACTTTGTGCTTGCAAAATTCAGTCCAGATATCACTGCCCTCAGTTGGTTGTTTAATGGCCTATATCTAAGGCTACGATTTTGTCACGGAGGTTGCAGAAGTCACAGGTGGCAGGGGGCCAAAGGTGACTCGTGGGAGGGACACAAAGAGGGCACCAGCTAAAGGGGATGTGTCCTCCCCACGTGATTCCTCGCCACCCCTAGCCTGGGGTCTCTGCGCTCTCCCCATCCCACATTACCTCAGGGGGTGGGCTCTGTCCTCCCGCTGTACCAGCTCCCCCTGGCATGTTCGGCTGCTCTTCCTGGAAGCCAGGCCCCAGAGCTGTTCCCGGATGCTGCCTGGTGCAACACAGTAGCTGCCTGGGAGAGTGCCTGGCTGCCTCCCGCCCGGGCTTGGCTTCTGGGACAGCGGCTGAGCGAGTTGAAGCCCCCCCAGACCTCTCAGAATTGGCTCCTGTCCCCAGAAGCTGAGCCTGGGCTGGGGGCAGCCTGCTGCTGCCGCAGCCAGGTGCTCTCCCAGTCAGCCGCTACACCGCGCCAGGCAGCATGGCTGGAAGAGGAGAGGTTCTGGCCCGGGCCGGCTGCTGGAGGGCACTTGACCCTGCTGGAGGGGCACTTGGCCCTCTGTTCTCCTACCACGAGTCACCCCTGCAGAGACCCCCAATGCATGCCAGCCATGGAGCTCCCAGTCGGCCAGGAGATCCTGGAGCTCTGAGCCATAGGCAGTGGGGGCCCCTGGAGTGCCGAGCTGGGGACCCCGCAGCTGCCCCATTGCTGTGGGCGGTGGGAGACACCAGAGCCCCAGCAATGATACGTGCTGGACCCTTTTCCCTACCCATTTTATTATGGATATTTTTAGTACAAGTCAGGGACAGGTCACGGGCTTCCGTGAATTTTTGTTTATTGCCCGTGACCTGTCCCTGACTTGTACTAAAAATATCAGTGACAAAATCTTAGCCTTACCTATAATTCTATGTTCAATTTGCTTCTTACTGAAAAGCACAATTCCTCTCCACTCCCACCCAAAGAAAACCCCACCACGCTTGTTGGCAATAGGCATTAAGACAGAACTACCCTTTTTTTGGTAGGTGTTTTTCTTCCACATCAGCAGAGAAACACTTTACTTATGTAGTGTAGAGAAGTCTCTGCCTGTTCTAGGTTAGAACTGTTTTCCCAGGCTTTCAATAAATAATTTTCACCAACATTTTTGGTTAAAAAATTCCACCTACATGTTTTTATCTTGTTCAGTCTTCCCATATCAGAGGGAAATGTCCCTAAGGTTAGGTTGCAGGAACACTAACAAGTGGCTACATTATACAGGATGATGTGCAATGATCTGAGCCACAATATGTAGTGAAACAATTCACCCTGTTAATTTAAGGTGACAGAGAACTTGTTGACGTTACCTTGCCTTAAGTCTCGCACAGTGGGAACTTGTCTCTTTGAATGGTGAGTTTAGATTATGGAAGTCAGTGACCAAATATAACTTGAGGGAGAGCAGACTAAGTGCAGCTATTTTCTGAATGACTGATTAACAATACATGTAGAAGTTATAGAAGGTTAATTAGGATTCCTAGATATAACATTTTCTTATCTCAAAACATAAGTCTTTTATATCTACTGTTACTGTAATGAAATGTAGATTAACTTTTCAACTAGATGTTAATGCACTGGTCCAAGAGACTCTGTATTATTCAGTTCCCCAAATGTAAGGAATAAAATTCTGCTCCATCTTTCTTAGACCACCTCTAATAAGCAGTCAATTTGTCTGTGGTTTGACAGGTTTCACTTTACTGTACACTATTGTATCTATTGTTGGACTTTTCAGGAGGATTAAGAGATTGAAAACGTGTTCTGTCATGTTTTAACATTGCTCCAAAGGAGCATGACCACTTAAAATATCTGAGCTGCTATATTCAAGGTATTTTTGGGGGGGAAAGATGGTTACAAAGTATTACTACTATGATTCATAGCTAAAACTATTATTTAGTCATGGAAGTCGCGGAAGTCATGGAATCTGTGACTTCCAGCAACCTCAGTGACTTCAGCCTGTGGTGGTTGGGAGCTGCAGGGTCCCCTGCCGCCCGCAGGGGGGCAGGGATCTGCAGCATACTCCTGTCGCCTCTGGCGGCCCCTGGAGCTCCTAGCTCCCCATAGCTCCCAGCCCCCACAGGCAGTGGGGAGACCCCCGCAGCTGCACATGGCAGGGGTACCCCCCAGCCGCTGCAGGCAGCTCCCAGCTCCTGCGCAGCTGCACTGCTTCAGGCAGTGCATGGACCCGAAGATCCCCATTTTGTCATGGAGATTTTTAGTAAAAGTCACGGATAGGTCACAGCTTCCATGAATTTTTCTATTTTGCCCGTGACCTGTCTGACTTTTACTAAAAATATCCATGACAAAAATCTTAGTCTTATTCATAGCCCCTGTAGTACTAGGCTCCTTTTGGGGTGGAGGGGAGACTACCTGATGGCTCTTACATAAATGGAGAGAGCAGCTGCCAGCCCCGTTGCTGCAGTAGTGGAGTCACCTTGAGTAATCTTAAATACTTCAGGCAGTGCCTATGTCTGCCTGTGTACCAAGGCTGGCAGATTTCTCAGTGCTGGCACTGCCCTTTTTAAGCAGCTAGTAAAGGGGTGCAGAGGCTTCATTCAAGCACTAGAGCATAGGGAGTTAACTTCTTAACAAATTCTGCTCTAAGTGTAAAGGTATAAAGGCACACCTGAAGAGTTAATAGGCAGTTTAACAACAACAGTCCTGTGCTGTTAAGTGTAAGAGCATCTAGGAGGGTATAGTGTCATACCTGGTACTAAAGAACAGGGTGTGAGAGCACAAGCTTTGCTTCATTTCTGTAATCGGCCTGCCCCTTTAGAACTTCCAGTCCTTGAAACCTAAAAATAAAGAATAGAGAGAAAAAGCTGCCTTGAGACTTTTACTTTTGTGAACTGGCAAAATAGGTTAACCAGATGAACAACAACAAAAAAACCACAAACACACACCTATATACTCAGTATAAATACTCACTGTGAACCACAGCTGTCTGAAATGCCCATTTAACATATACTATTTCTTTCACAGATTTCCACACACTTTCCAAAGAGTAAATCCCACAAGATGCCTGAGAACTAGTTATTAGACTGAAGGACAGAGATTACAACCTCTCTAAAGCTACAGTTAATCATGGCAGAACTGGGAATAGAACACAGGAATCTTAACTCTTAAGTTCCTCATTCCCTCCATTTCTAAAAATGTACACAGTAGTCCAGCCTACTGTGTGAATATCTTTATTTTCATGAGTTCCAAGGAAGATTTTTTTAGTTTAAACAATCCTATGGGTCTGTTAAAACTTGTTAAATTGTCAACAAAGTATTTATGAGCCATAGAAGAATGGCAGGCAGGGAATTGTCTGCCCATCCTGCATAGTGTTGCTGTCATGAGGATATTAGAGAGATAAGAAGTCCTGCCTCAGACAATTAAACTCCTGCTGCACTATGGTAAAGGCTCCCTGGCAACATGCAGGGATATTCAACACTGCATAATTAGTTAAAGTAGCCCATAACTATAGATAAGGTTATAGATATATAGATGGGTATTTTTAACAATGGCAAGTGAAGCAGGCATCATTACAAATCCATCCAACTACAAGCTTAAAGCACTCGCAGTGCTGTAGCAGAGGTGAGTCAGCAAGGTTGTCACAATAAGGCAGCGAAGCAGTAAGCTACATTGGGAGTAGATAACCAGTCTTTCGCCCCTTCCAAGAAACCTGAGAAATAAAGAAAGGGACACTGAGAGCGCCTCATCACCGGCACCATCTCCTACTGCTAAGAAAAAGGTTTAAAATACAAGAAGGAGAAAATTGACTAGAAAGAGAAATGGAGAAGATAAACAGAGTTAGGCCCAGGATAGAGACAAGAGAGTGGCTCTTCCCTGAGGACAAAACAATGTTATGAAGGGTCTTGTATACTTTAGGTCAATATTTAGACAGCACAGACCAATGGCTCATCAGCAGGACCTCTTCATTGTTTTCAAAACACCATGTGCGTGCACACGCAGTGCCACAGAAATAACAATTTGGATAGGATTTTCAAAAATGGCAGGTACTTAGGATATTGGGACTTACCCTGTTTCTCCATACAGTACAGACTAATCTCTCGCAGCTAACTATATCCCAGTATTAAGGGTTGCCCCCGGGTCCTTTCAGCAAGATATGGCTGCCAATCCAAGGGGCAAGCCTTCATTTTATTGTTATAATCATTTTGTTTCTTCAAGTTCAGCATTGCTAATATATTTATACCTTTACCCCACAGTTGAAAGGCACAATCACTTGCTCATAGTTCTGTTTATACTCAGATTCTGAGCACAAGTCCTGATTCTTAGTTTATCCCTGCACTTGGGGCAGGAACTCCTCAATGCAAACCCTGTATTTTATGGCAGCTGGTGAACTTTGCAGCCTCTGATGTAGGTTACAGTTTAGTTAGTTACTGCTCTAACTTAGTGCCCTCTGTCCATGCCTCCTCACCACCTACAACACCCCATACACCAGTGGGGGTAGGAGTTGGCCAGAATGGAGCCCTGGAGCCAGCTTCTCATGAGCTAGAGGCCTTCAGCACAGACTGGCATAAAGGTACCTTGGTGCTACTGCAAATCAAATCCACAGCTTATGCTCATTACAGCTTTTGGCTACCAGTCACAGTGAGGCGGGCATGCTCCCAAGTGCAGCTCTGCACAGCGATCTTTGTAGTGCTGGGAGCTAGGATGCAACCTATTAGGAAGGGCTGGTGGATTTATCCTTTCAAAGGAAA